CATTAATATGAAATGTTCAGAATAGGCAAATCCATAGAGACAGAAAGTTGATTAGTGATTTCCAGGGGCTGGGAGGAAGTATAGACTGAGGAGTCATTGCTAGGGGGTGTGAACTTTCTTTTTGGGGGGATGACAATGTTCTAAATTTAAATAGTGGTAATGGTTGCACAGCTCTGGGAATATACTTGAAACCACTGAATTTTATGGTGTGTGAATTATATTTCAAAAAAGCTACTTTAAAAATAGAATTAATCAAGCACATAAAGGCAACTACATATCTGGGGAGTGGCAGAAAGGAAAAACGTTAGTCTTCCGGATCTACCGCGCTCTGCCAGGGAATGCCAGCACTACCACACGAACCTCCCGGGAGGACAGGTGATGTGGGCCCAGCACAAAGGACAAAGTAGGGTGGGTGAGGAGTGAACTCCGTCCCCATCCCCCACCTCCGCTCTCCCCTTATGAAGTGGGATATTTATGATAACAAGTAGAACGTAAGAGGAGGAGTAGGAAGATTATAAGCTCTAGAGTTGAAAACCTGTGTTTAAAAGCTGGGGTGTAAACCAGTGAATGTTTACAGAATGTGGTTCCCCACATTCTAGCTTGTGACCTTGGACCAATTACTTAACATCCCTCAGCTTCCTCATCTATAAAATGAGTTTAATAATCGCACCTCGTGTCCCACGGTTGCTGTAAGGATATCCTAATGCACACGAAGCCCTTACAAGAGTGTCATCTGATACAAACTGCTATTGTCGTCATTACCACCATCACTGGTATTGTTCTTTCAGTTCAACAGGCCGACTCTACTCTCAACAGTCAGACAAGGGGATGCAGCACAATCACACATGAGTACATGAGCCCTCCCAGGGAAATTCCAATCAAACTCACCTGGGAGCATGGGCTTGCCCCTCCCCCACCTACGATGACAATTACTCTCATAAAGGCAACCAAGGAAGGCAGCACTGGCTGATAACAGCGGCAACCACTGAAGGGCTAGAGTCAGGCACATTTTCAAGTGTGCTAAATATGCTACTTCACTGAAAGTTCACAACCAACCACGTCACTTTACAGATAAAGGAAAGTGCAAATACACTGAGTAACCACCAAGTTAATAACACAGTTAAAGAAGTCAGAGCTGAAAGTCCAACCTGCATCAGTGCAGCCCATGTCACTTTCCAGTACCTTAGGCTGACCTGGATTTCCAATGGAAGAGTAATTAGGAGAGGAATGAAGAATGAGGGAAGAGTACTTTTGGACTAACACAATTATTTCACACACTCAAGTAACAGGATGCCAGACAATATGCAATGCCATTCGCTCCTTCACACGTACATTAAGCACCCATTATGTGCCAGTGTCAATGATAAAAACAATCTTGGAAGGATATGGACTTTAAAAGAGAAAATTACAAAAAATAAAAATAATAATAAAACTATAGAAGAATATGGTCAGCACATTAGTAAACAAACAGAGGAATGTGCTGGACAACGAGGAGATCAGGTAAGCGTCAACTGCATTCTCAATTGCAGAGACAGTCCCACCCACTGCCTTCAACTTCCTTAAACAAGAATTCAGAGGAAAACACCTGACACTCATTTTCAATGCCTTTTTCTCCTCTGCAACCCTGATGAATGGAATTTGAAACCATACTTCTGAATCTTCTCTATGATTTGTTTCTTTTTTTTTTTAAAGATTTTATTTATTTATTTGAGAGAGAGAGAATGAGAGATAGAGAGCACAAGAGGGAAGAGGGTCAGAGGGAGAAGCAGACCCCCGCTGAGCAGGGAGCCCGACGCAGGACTCGATCCCGGGACTCCAGGATCATGACCTGAGCCGAAGGCAGTCGCTTAACCAACTGAGCGCCCCTCTATGATTTGTTTCTATTCAGAAAACTGCGAGCCCACAATCTTTCCCCCTGTACCTCATGGGACAAGCATGTACCCAACTGCAGGACTGACTAGGGGAGGGTGCAGAATAGAGGGTCCATGGCAGAAGGGTCCATCCCAAGAATGGGTTGCAAGAGGGCAGAGGCTGTTTGTTGCAAAGTGCAGCACAAGCCCTAAGACATTTATATCCATTCCAGGATTGATACATTCTGACAGACTGAATGGTATGGGGAAGCAATTCATTCCACATTTTATAAAGCACATTTCGCAGGGTAGAGAGCGTCAGGTGCATAAACACATCTTAATTTAGTCCTAAAATCCTAACGGGATTTCCATTGTGCTTACAACCACAGAGGGAACACTTAAGGTTCTAATCCTGTCAAAGGGACCAAGCACTTTTCAACGCTTTCCCAGTAGTAAAGGACAAGGCAATTACCATGAAAGAGAAAGAATAAGAAGATACATGAAATATTTCTTTGGAAGGATAAGCTAAATTCTCAGAGATTTAAAAGGATCAATGTTGAGATGGTAAATAAAAAATACACTAAATTCACTTTAGGAACTAAAGTTTTTCAAATATTTTAAGTTAATGTGTTAACACAATATGATCATATAAATAAGGTGGCAAATACATCCAACAGATAACACAGTATGTATCTTTTTTTATTTTTTAAAGATTTTATTTATTTGAGAGAGAGAGTGAGAGAGAGAGAGCACATGAGAGGGGGGAGGGTCAGAGGGAGAAGCAGACTCCCCGCTGAGCAGGGAGCCCAATGCGGGACTCGATCTCAGGACTCCAGGATCATGATCTGAGCCGAAGGCAGACGCTTAACCGACTGAGCCACCCAGGCGCCCTTTATTTGACAGAGAGAGACAGCAAGAGAGGGAACACAAGCAGGGGGAGTGGGAGAGGGAGAAGCAGGCTTCCTGCTGAGCAGGGAACCCGACATGGGATTGGATCCCAGGACCCTGGGATCATGACCTTAGCCGAAGGCAGACACTTAACGACTGAGCCACCCAGGTGCCCAACACAGTATGCATCTTATGAATCACAAGAAAATAAACTGTCAATTAAAATTCTAAGTAAGATTTGATGGACTATTCAGATTGAATTTTTCCTATAAATGCAGTAATTTTATAATGAAAGTTAAGCGAGAATTCAGAGAAAAAAAACCTGAGGCTCATTTTCAATGACAAAATATTCCTGAATTTGGGGGTGCCTGGATGGCTCAGTTGGTTCAGCTTCCGACTCTGGGTCTCTCAGCTCAGGTCATGATCTCAGGGTTGTGGGATCAAGCCCCTTGTGAAGCTTCACTGCTCAGGGTGGAGTCTGCTTGGGATTCTTTCCTCTTCCTCTCCCTTCCTGTCTCGCACTCTCTCTCTCTCTCTCTCTTTCTCTCTCTCTCTCAAATAAATAAGTAAAATCTTTAAGAAAATATCCCTGAATTTATAAAGTAATTATGATGTTCAGAAGTCATTTCCAGAGTAAGTGCTGTAAGAGTAAGCAATAGTGGGGTTCAGAATATCTTTTGAAAACTTGGTATCTGGGCTATACCCTTGGACCAAATCTGGCCAACCCCCTGTTTTTGTACAGAATTAAGAGTGGTTTTTATAATATCAAAATACTAAAACCAAATAAAAGAATATTACATGACACATGAGTATCATAGAAAATCAAGTTCTGGTGTCCATAAATAAATTTTTATTGGAAGAAAGCCAAGCCTATTTGTTTATATAATGTGTATGGGTGCTTTCGTGCTCTAAGAGCGGAGCTGAGTAGTTGGACAGAGACCTTATGGTCTGCACGGTTAAAGCTATCTACTCTCTGTTCTTTACAGAAAAAGTTTGCTGGCTCCTGATCTAGATTCACGATGCTTGTTTATATAGAATAAGCTCCAGATAGATTCTAGTTAAACTTGTGGAAAAGCAACCATATACTTTATATGTATTTGCAACATAGACGAAGGGACATAACTTGTATTATAAAATTATGTGCTATGAAAAAATTATTTTGAAATGCTGCAGGATTATTTTGTAGGGTAATGGGCTTTCTTTTCTAGATAGTCATAGGAAGTAAGAAAAATAAAAGTGCTTGAAAACAAAAAAAAAGAGTAAGCAATAGTTACAAATAGGTAAGAATTTAAGGAATATGCTTAAAATTCAATATAAAATAAAACATTAAAAACAAGATATGTGAGAGAAAATACCCATGTTGTTTTAGTCCTGAATAGTGCTCAGCATAATTGTTTTCATTTGTCAGAAGAATAAAAGATATTGCTAATTCTTGATAATCTATGGTAAAATGTTCATCTAAATTTTACTAAAATATCTGTACTAATTATTCTTTATTAGGTGAAATAGAAATTGTTTTCAAATTTGACATATAGCAAATAAGATTTATTTTAAATCATACAAACTATATATCAAACTTAAATGCCTCTTTCTTGATAGGGCCTATTAAAAGTACTTGACTTGAATCTTTTTATCAGTATGAAATAAACTGTGTTCGGGTGGAAAATAATTTTGAACTGTCATATGCTGTAGATTGAATACCACAATGTTTAGCTCTCTATTAAAAAAATTAAAAGCTTCCATTTTAAGAAAATTTCATTTTGAAGATGTGTGCATTAAAAAAATAGATTTCACAATAAGGACAGTATAGAAATCTGTTCATCAAATATTTACCTCAAAATCTAAATTTTTGTTTTAGCTACAGTGACTAACAACCTTTTGTTCATTTTCTTTGATCTAACAAAGAATGGTAGAAAACCAAGACTTACTTGTTCTTGTTAAGGTGTTTAATGACTATTTCAAAAAAAAAAGCTGATAATAGCAATAAAAGGAAGCTTAAAAAAAAGAAAAAGAAAAAACGTGTAAACTCTAAACAGTGAACCCAAACAGGAACATGTTAGAATCCCTCTTGAAATCAGTTGTGTCTAATCTACAGATTCCCCATGTCAGGTGCACCTCAGCTGGCCATCTCTGTACCCAGGACCTGGGACTAGGAATGGTGTCCAAGGAAGTTTGCTCCTTCCCACTGTGCCAAGAAATCAGAGCTTCACGGGAGGGGCGGGGACGTGCCAAGACAGCAGTGCACTCCTCCGAAGCGCGTACCTTTACCCTCTGGTCATCCACATCGATGACCGTAGCCACGCGAATGAGCCTGGGGTTCCGTCTGTCCACCGCTTCAAGTCTCATGCTCGGCAGAAAACCATGCGGCGTCCGCTGAAAGGTCACGAAAGCACAAGTCAAAACCCAACAGCAAAACCCAACTGAGCAGACAAGACACGCCATGTTTTCTAAAGTGCAATTGTTCTGACTTTGCATTCAGACCCTGCAACTGGAATTCAGGTTGAAGGGCCCTAAGGCTTATGCATATTATTTTATCCAGTTTTATTAAAACCTGTGAGAGGAGAAAGAATTTTTTGGTCATTTTCAAGATAGCTAAAAAGAGATTAAATCATAAATTCGTTAATGATCACAAGATTCAGAAAAGGTTCTAATTTATTAACAGTTTATTTATTTGTTTAGATTTTTTTCTGAAATTAACTCTATAAATTAAGAAATGGTTGACTATTCTCACTGCCCAGTTTTGGAATTTATGACCCAGAAGACAAAATTATTTACTAAATAATAAGAAAGGATAAACATAATCCTTTATAAATCTAAATTTTAAAATAGATAAAAGCTGCATGACTATTACAGGTAACTGTTCTAAAATCATACAACAATGTAATTTAAAGCCATAACCTGTGCTTTTGTAACATAAGCATGTTAAAAACTGTATTAATTAAGCTTTCTTCCAACTCTTAAAATGCTAGGAACCAGGAGTCTATAATGATGGACCTTCAGAAAACACTAAAAAATACTGAATTGGGAATAAATACACTAGGACTTACCAAATCACTGGCACCAAAGAAATTTAAAAACCAAAAATCAAAGTTAAAAGACAACTCCAACAGTGTTCACAGGTTGGCAAAAAGTTTCACTTTGAAAGCTATTACACATAAAAGTATTCAATTGACCTTACTGAAAATGAAAGTGTATTGAATTCCTCAAGTCTAGAAATGGCAATAGGAAAATAAAACCTTCATGATATGTGAGTAATAAACAGTTAAATCTTTCTCCAGTACCTCATTTGTTTCTCTACAGCTTTTGTGGAAGCATGTTTTCTCCAAAATGCATTATTACATCTACTAAATGTAATACACAGACTGTAATTAGGTCTTTGATGCTTGAAATTCTTTCTGCTTTCCCCAAGGTCACTGTCTTGATAACAAAGGTAACAGTTTCATATTGCAGATGCCAAAGATACATAGCTTGAGGTGAATCCATAATAACCCCATGTCAGAGCCTGGACGTTGCATTTTTAACTAAATCAGAGTTTTATTTTCTTGTAATTTTCTTCTTGGAAAAGTAAAATGAGCTTTGACAGAAAGCAAAAGAGAAAAAGATAATACAAGAAGCTGGTATTCTTATTGAGTTTCTGCAATTCTTAAAGTCCTTTCAAGCACTCTAGGACTAGCCTTCTTAATTTGATTACACTTATTTTCCAAATCCAGCCTACTCTATAATCAATTTTTTTTAAAAAAATGAAATAGCATTTTGTTTCAAATCCCTTGTCATCCCTAGAAAACTTTTTATAAATGAAATCATATGTGGAAGCTCACTATATAAAATTCTGATTAAAGTTGAGTCAGGAAGCCCAGAGCGCACAATTTGAAAACTGCTTTAGACATAAATATCTCTAATTATACTATCAATGCACTGTCTTTTACCAAATAATTCATGCTTGATTCAACCCTGCAATAAATGTATAAGGACAAATTTGAACCTAAAAGTTGGTGTTCTAACAAATGCTAAAAGCAATGTTTCCCTCAAAATGGATAAAAGCGGAGCACACACAGGCTACATACAATTCGCCTATCTTATTATGGCGTCATGAACATTCAAACAGTCCCAAGACTGTGAAAGTGCAGAGTTCCCACTTGATGGACAAATACAAGCAGAAATGAAGGACTCCACCATCATCTGAGGTTGATGAGGTGCCTTCAACTGCACGAGGGTGGGCTACTAGGCTTTTCAAGTAGGGAAACCATCATTACTTTTGTGTAGAGGAACAATAGTAAGTGAATCACCTCCTTTGTGGCTTTAACTGAAAACAAGGCAGATTGGTTATGAAAATAACATTTGACTTTAAGAAGAAAAATCTAGAATAATTTAAACTGTCAAATGAAGTCAACATGTACATTGCTTAAAGGTGAGAGTGTATTCAGATACAAACGTACCATTTTAAAAACTTTGGCAGGAACAGCATTAGTTTGAGTGGCTTCCAGATATTCTGTCCAGGAAAAATTTTCTGGATCAGGATAACCTGAAAATATATATATACATATCAAAAGATTATTCATTGACATTTTGATTCCCGTGGACTCTAAGACATCTGACCTACTGTTAACTGAATGCTATTTAATAGCCCCTATGCGAAGAACCTCACATACATTACCTAACTTGTCTATTTTAACCTCTGAGAGGGCTCTTTCATCCCCACTAAGGCAAGACAGCACTCATTCATTGGATCATATTCATTCACTCAACAAGGCCAAGGTCAAATGTGCTGTGCATACTTGGCAGAGCCAGGTTACACCCAGAAGGCCTCCTTAGAAGTTTGAAAAAAACTCAAAAATCACTGTCTGACCTCAGACAATGAACTGGTAATCTTTCTAATTCCTCCAATACTGTTGCCTCTATGGGTTTTATTCTCTTAATTACATCTCTGTAATTGCAATTTCCCAGGTTTGCCATTTATAATTGCAATTTAAAAATTCATATTGGTATAACATGGCATAAAGCACTCTATGTTTAAAAAAAATTCTAATTGGATTTCTTGTTTCTCTTTACATTTATGTTATCTTATTCCTAATTACATTACATTACCTATTATTGTGCTGTTTTCTTTTTACTTTAAAGGAATAAGTACTTAGATTTATTCATCAGCTCTACTGTATTCGTTTCTCTTTTCTAATTATTTCATCTGCTGCTTTTACTCTTATTGCTTTACTCATATTTCCCTTAGGTTTGTTTTTGTCAAACTGAATTATAAAGAAAATTAATTTATCTTCATTTTTTAAATAATAGAAGCATTCAAGACTATGAACTTACAGCCAAACTATGGAAAGAGCCTAGATGTCCATCAACAGATGAATGGAGAAAGAAGATGTGGTATATACATACAATGGAATATTACGCAGCCATCAAAAAGATGAAATCCTGCCATTTGCAACAACATGGCTGGAACTAGAGGGTATTATGCTAAACGAAATAAGTCAGTCAGAGAAAGAGAAATATCATGATCTCACTGATACGAGGAATTTGAGAAACAAGACAGAGGATCATAGGGGAAGGGAGGGAAAAATGAAACAAGACGAAACCAGAGAGGGAGACAAACCATAAGAGACTTAATCTCAGGAAACAAACTGAGGGTTGCTGGAGTGGTGGGGGGTGGGAAGGATGGGGTGGCTGGGTGATGGAATTGGGGAGGGTATGTAATACGCTCAGTGATGTAAATTGTGTAAGACTGATGAATCACAGACCTGTAACCCTGAAACAAATAATACATTATATGTTAATACAAATAATTTTTAAAAAAGATTATGAACTTAACCATTGTTGCCCCTGAATATAGCTTTAGACACCTGGACAAACTTTTATGACATATTTATTTTTCTCACCTTTATTTTCTCAAAAACAATTATTATTACAATCTATAATTGTCACCTTCGTTTAGTCACTGGCCAAATATTTATTTAAGAGATATCTCAAATGGCTAATTTTTGTAGTTGTTTAAAATATTAATAATATCTGGGGCGGAGCAAGATGCTGGAGGAGTAGGAGACCTGGATTTCGTCTGGTCTCAGGAATTCAGCTGAATAGGGATCAAACCATTCTGAACACCTACGAACTCAACAGGAAACCGAAGAAGAGAGTAGCAAAAACTCTTTGAACAGAAAAGTGACCACTTTCTGGAAGGTAAGACATGCGGAGAAATGAATCCGAGGCGATATTCGGGAGGATAGACGGCGGGGGAGGGGGCCTCCGTCTGCCGCTTCTGGCAAGTGATAGAGCCGCAGAGCACAAAATCGGAACTTTTAGAAGTCGGCTCTGCTGAGGGATGTCGCTCCAGTGGCTAAGCGGGGGGTGGAACCCTCGCGGGACAGTGTGGTCTCAGGACCCTCGGGGTCACAGAAAGACCGGGGGTGCCTGAGTGCAGCAGAGCTCCCAGGTATCGGAGCGGGGAAGCCGGCTGCAGAGACGGAGCCGAGGCGCAGGTTCTCAGCTCGGGGTGGCCATAAACTGTGATCCACGGCCCAGTCAGGCCACTGCTCCTCCAGCAGGGACCCAACAAGCGGCAGATCCGGGGAGACTCCCCTCCCTCCCCCAGGAGAAGCGGCGCGGGAGCACACCACAGGGATCTGCTGGGTTTGGAGACTCCACACGGGGTCAAGTGCCAGAGACAGAAACGCTCGGTCACAGGCCAGGTGAGCACGCAGGGCGGCTGGAGACTGGGGAGACGGGACTGACGGCTTTTCTCTGGGGGCGCACCGAGGAGCGGGACCTCGAGTTCTCAGCTCCTCCGGGTGGAGATTGGGAGGCCACCATTTTCACCCTGGTCCTCCAAAGCTGTA